CCCCATACAGATGGCCTAAAGGCCCTCCGCTTCTTCCTGTCCCGCAGGCCGAACCAGTCCCCCTCCACTGACACCCTCCTCCGCTTAGCCAAACTCGTCCTCACCCTCAACAACTTCTCTTTCAATTCCTCTCACTTCCTACAGACAAAGGGGGTGGCCATGGGTACCCACATGGGCCCAAGCTACGCCTGCCTCTTTGTAGGTTACGTGGGACAATCCCTCTTCTGTACCTACACTGGCCCTAAACCCCACCTATTCCTCCGTTACATTGATGACTGTATCGGCGCTGCCTCGTGCTCCCATGAGGAGCTCGAACAGTTCATCCACTTCACCAATACCTTCCACCCCAACCTTAAGTTTACCTGGACCATCTCTAACACCTCTCTCACCTTTCTGGGCCTCTCTGTCTCCATCTCGGGCAACCACCTAGAAACCGATATCCATTTCAAGCCCACCGACTCCCACAGCTACCTAGAATATACCTCCTCCCACCCACCTTCCTGCAAAAATGCCATCCCCTATTCCCAATTCCTTCACCTCCACCGCATCTGCTCCCAGGATGAGGCATTCCACTCCCGTACATCTCAGTTATCCTCGTTTTTCAAGGACCGTAACTTCCCCCCCTCAGTGGTCGAGAACGCCCTCAACCGTGTCTCCCACATTTCCCGCAACTCATCCCTCACACCCCGTCCACGCAATAAGAACGAAAAGAGAATCCCCCTTGTCCTCACGTACCACCCCACCAACCTCCGGATCCAACGCATCATCCTCCGACACTTCCGCCATCTGCAATCCGACCCCACCACCAAAGACATCTTTCCCTCCCCACCCTTATCTGCTTTCCGGAGGGACCACTCTCTCCGTGACTCCCTTGTCCGCTCCACACTCCCCTCCAGCCCCACCACACCCGGCACTTTTCCCTGCAACCGCAGGAAGTGCTACACCTGCCCCCCTACCTCCTCCCTCACCCCCATCCCAGGCCCCAAGAAGACTTTCCACATCAAGCAGATGTTCACCTGCACATCTGCCAATGTGGTATACTGCATCCGCTGTACCCGGTGTGGCTTCCTCTACATCCGGGAAACCAAGCGGAGGCTTGGGGACCGCTTTGCAGAACACCTACGCTTGGTTCGCAATAAGCAACTGTACCTCCCAGTCGCGAACCATTTCAACTACCCGTCCCATTCCTCAGACGACATGTCCATCCTGGGCCTCCTGCAGTGTCACAACGATGCCACCCGAAGGTTGCAGGAACAGCAACTCATATTCTGCTTGGGAACCCTGCAGCCCAATGGTATCAATGTGGATTTCACAAGCTTCAAAATCTCCCCTCCCCCTACCGCATCCCAAAACCAGTCCAGCTCGTCCCCACCTCCCTAACCTGTTCTTCCTCCCACGTATCCCCTCCTCCCATCTCAACCCGCACCCTCATTTCCTACCGACTAACCTCATCCCGCCCCCTTGACCTGTCCGTCCTCCCTGGACTGACCTATCTCCTCCCTACCTCCCCACCTACACTCACCTTTACTGGCTCCATCCCCGCCTCTTCGACCTGTCTGTTTCCTCTCTACCTATCTTCTCCTCTATCCATCTTCTATCCGCCTCCCCCTCTCTCCCTATTTATTTCAGAACCGCCTTCCCCTCCCCCATTTCTGATGAAGGGTCTAGGCCCGAAACGTCAGCCTTCCTGCTCCTATGATGCTGCTTGGCCTGCTGTGTTCATCCAGCTCTACACCTTGTTTTCCCAGATACCATCAGTTCTGAGGAAGGGTAACCAGACCAAAAAATGTTAACTTTGATTTTTTTCTTCACAGATGCTGCCAGACCTGCTGAGCTTTTCCAGCAACTTCTGTTTTTGTTTCTGATTTACAGCATCCATAGTTATTTCGGTTTTTATTAAATATTGAGTCAACACGCTCTGAGCCAAAGAGCTCGGCGCTGGCCAGAAGGTCATGCAGAAAAACTATTGGTATTGTATGGAGCAGTGGTTGACTGAAGTTGTTACGAAGTGACTGGGTCCATTCATATATCTAGTGAAAAGAGTGACATGGGATCTTTTACACCCACATGACTCAGTGCTTCAGTTGAAGGCCTCAACCAGAACACAGCATCTTGGACAGTGCAGCACTCCCCTTACTGGGGGATGAACCCAGATCCATTTGATGCAGAGACAAGTGCATTACCATCTGATCCAGCACTGGAAAACAGCCTTCTAAATTGTAAGGATGAACATAAAGATCAGTTTTTCTATCTGACTTTGCTTTTTAAAGCTTACTTCAGAATTTTAAAAAATAACTTCTGTCAAATTGTTAAAATTTAAATTGGATCTTCGTTGACATGCTTCATTTGTAGTAGAATCTTTATGGTTACTTATTTAGACTGCGTCACAGGACAGGAGATGCATTTATTTAATGTTTTAGCAAAAAACCCTGTACGCTGAGGTTTGGAACTCCCTGTTGGTCATACGTTCAACTCTGTCATCCAGAAATGGAAGCTGATTGTTGTTTTCTTCTTCTCTCGTGAATTTAATCCCGGCGAATACGTTGTTGATGAAGTGGTTGGTCTCTTCTAGTTTGGTGCGTTTAATGGTGACAAATGTGTCATCCACAGACCGGATCCACAGTTCAGGTTGAATGAGGGAGACGGTAGTATGTTCTAGACTTTACATGACTGCCTCTGCAATGAGTCCTGAGATGGGTGACCCCATAGGTGTGCCATTGATCTGTTCGCATACTTGACCATTAAAGACGAAGTGTGTGGCGAGGCACAAGTCTGGGAGCTTACGTTGTTATTGATGATGGAGCTGCTGGTTCCTGCTTCCTCTAGTAATGTGGCCAGTGTTTCTTTGGCTAGTGGGATGTCAATTGATGTGAATAATGCTGTGAAGTCAAAGGATGCCAAAATATCAACGTCACTGATTTTTATGTTCTTGACGGTATGGAGGAATTCTTGGGTCGAGTGCATGGAATGGGATGCTCCATCGACTAAGTGCTTTAGTCGATGTTGTAGGACCTTGGTTTGTGTGAAGGTGTGCCTGGTAGGGAGACAATGTGTCTGAGAGGGATGTCTGGTTTGTGTACTTTAGGAAGTCCATAGAAGTGGGGGGTGTGCATGCCTTCTGGTTTAATTCTCATGTCGTCCGTCTTGGTTATCTGTCCTGCATCTTTCAGTCTCTTCAGTGTCTGGGTGATCCTATTACCTATTACCACCTGTTGGTAAGTGTTTGTATCTGTGAGCAGTGCCTGTGCTTTCTCAATGTAGTCCAGTTTGTTCATAATGATGGTCATGTGCCCTTTGTCTGCTGGTAGGATTATAATGTTCTTGTCTTTGAGATTTCCTAGTGCTTTTCTCTCTGATGTGTTCAGGGTGTCCCATCTGTTCCTTCGGCTTAGTGTGGGGATTATACAAGCATTATATCCGCCAGACAGGAAGGAACCTAACCCTCAGAATAAATGAACATCAACGAGCAGCAAAATGGCACGATGAACTTTTCTTAATATCAGTACACTTGGACAATGAATGCCATCAGTTTAACTGGGACAAAGTAACCATAGTAGCCCAAGCCAAACATAGACACGCATGGGAATTCCTAGAGGCACAGTTCTCACCCATAATGCAATCACAAACATGTAAGATTGGACCTCATATACAAGCCCATACAGAACAAAACCGGAAATGACAACTCATCATAACGGACTAGACAGTATAAATTCCAAGCTGAGCAGAACAACATTGTTTCATTAGAGGCCTCACTGATGATGCTACCGAGCATGGTGACGAAACGTCTGAACAAAAACAAGTCAGCTCAGCGAGCAAGTCAACAACCTCAGATGCTTTTGTAAATGGTTGTTATTTACTGCCTTCGCAAACTTTTCAATCACTTTCATTGGCGCCTATGAACACCGTACCAGAAAAGCTGCCAAATTGACTAAGCAACAAAAACAATGGCAGCGAAACTGTTTGCTGCCAAAAGCCAGTTTAAGGCAAGTAGGACTTGAAATCCCAATTGGATGCCCAAAATAACAATAAAGGGTGATGAGTGGAGCACCAAATGGTTAGTGTTAGGAGCATTGAAATATGACATGCAATTCCAATCATAATGCTTACAATAATATACATGATCTGAGAAAATAACTTGTAGGATCCTGAGACTATAGAGGTGAACTGTTTGGGAAGGCTGGAGAGCTTTAGCCCGATACACAAAGTTAAGGAGTGACCTCAAGGGCATGAAAGTACGAAGTTATTCTAAAATGCCCTTCAGAACATGAATGGTGTAATTTTCCCAGTTTCTTTCCAAAGTGTCACTGCGTTTAGGTGATGACCAACACATCACCCCTGCCGCACGTAAAACTCATCGTTTTGCCACCAGTCAGCTCATGAATCAAAGATCGGCAGCTTCTGGGTCCTAAGGACTGCTGTTTGAAGCCTAATCCTCAGGGAGTCCAGCAGAGAGGGATTTTTTTTAATACTCTTCCCACAGGTAGGAGTCATGGGTGGGTGGACAGGAGGGAAGAGACAGCAGATGTTAAAGGCCACTCCTTTGCCTCCAGTTTAAGTAAAATGGAGGTCACAACCTAGCCCCCTCTCTTTCATTCCTCCCGTTCTCCGCGCTTTCCTTTCTCCCCCACCACCCAGCAGGCAGGTCACACTGGTTTTCCAGTTGAGAGGCTAGCCTTAGGGAGTAGGTGAAGCCTTAAGTGGCCGTTAATTGACTTCATTGGTAGAGAGAGGGAGTCAAGAAGATTGCCCATGGATTCTCTCACCTAGAGACTAGTCAGATGGTGTGAGGGGAGTGAGTTTCTCACAAGGATCAACCCACCTAATTATATTCCTTTTTCACCACCTCCTAAGAGTTTCCAGGCTAGTGATCACACAACTAAGTTGTAATGGAGTATAGGCTTCAACAAGATACTGAGCTCAAAATACAGACAGCTCTATGCACAAACAATACTTATTACTGAAAGAATTTTACACCGAAGTTAGAATGGTTCAGTACTTACAAGTCCATTTGGCATTGTCTGTTGGCCATGATTTAGATACATATAATGGTCATTGTAACCTGTACAGGTATAGATCCCTAATTGCGGACTCAGTGTAAACAAAAAACATTTACTGTCCCCTGTGAAAGGAAGTTACAAGAACAAGAAAGTATTAATTTTCTGTCTCATGGAAGAGAAATAACTTACTGTTATAGAAAAAAAACACATTTTCAGGTTAACCTAATCCATATTTTATAGCTAATTGTTTGCTTTTGAAGTATATCATTGGTGCCATATAGGAATTGCATGGCAACTCGATATATCAAGATACTGAAAATAGCCAATATATGAATGATGGATATTGTTTTTATTAAGACAAAATTAAAATACAGAACTTCAAAAAGTATTCACCTCTGATGCATTATCTTAGTTACATGCCAACTCACACAGGATCAAGAAAGTTAGAGAATTAAGTACATGACTCAAAAAGTAGCTTTGGGAGGAAGGTGCTTCAATTCATGGGCACAGGCACGAGTACTGGGGAAAGAGGGAGCTGTTCCATCAGAACTCCACTTAAAGACTCCATTTAAACTGGGTTGGGATCGATATCCTAGTGAGATGTAGGACTTTAGGACTGGGTTTTAAATTAAAAGAGGATGAGGGTGGGTGGGATTGGGTGGACATTTAGAAATCATCGATCATAGATAATAGAATCATAGAAGCCCATACACAGTGTGGAAACAGGCCCTTCGGACCAACAAGTCCACACCGACTCTCACAGCATCCCATCCCCCTCTAACCCACCTAATCTGCACATCCCTGAATACTACGGACAATTTAGCATGACCAATCCACCTAACTTGCACGTCTTTGGACTGTGGGAGGAAACCAGAGTACCCGGAGGAAACCCATGCAGACACGGGGAGAACGTGCAAACTCCACACAGACAGACCCCAAGGGTGGAATCGAACCCAGGTCCCTGGTGCTGCGAGGCAGCAGTGCTAACCACTGAGCCACCGTGCAACCCATCTAGTGAAATCTAGTGAAAAAAAAAGTAAAGAAAATAGAATTATGCAGCAATGTGGCTAAAGACAACCAGAGTGAAAATAAGTAGGGAGATGGAATTTAACACTAATAGTGCATCAGCGAATAAGGACCAGACGAAACCTGAAGTGCAAAAATAAATTTTAAGGCTCACTACCTGAATGCGCAAGACATTTGCAAAAAAGGACAGGTGAACTAGTGACACAAGTGAAGGTAAGTGATGTAGATCTATGTGACAGAGATAGAAGGCTTGCATTTCAATTTGGGATCTGGAACCCAAAGCCCGGATAATTTTGAGCCCCCACCCTACACTACATACGCATTACTCTTGTAGAGCCAAATCCAAATGTAAAAATCCGATTGGGCCAAAGGTGACCTCGACATTCAATCAATGGGATCAAACATTACCATGAGTCAGAAACTGTCAGCACAGTGCAAGTAATAAAGTCAGAGGACAAACATTAAAGAGCATGTCGATGTCTTTGCAAAACATAGTGGGCAGCAACTTGCAAGGACGGCAGCTTCAAGTACACAGAAGTGTGAGGAAAGCCAAATGGAAGCTAAAGTGCATAATTATGCACACAAAATAACCCAGGTCTCAAAAAGGTTTTTAGCGTCACATAAAAAAAAAAGCCTAACTCCTGCCTGCAGTGAACCCAATGGCGGCTGTGCACTATTATGCAGACTATTCAGGTTTGGCAATTTACAAATTGAAAATAGCCTTCTCGCTTCCCTCCATTAGTCAGTTAACAAGCTTAAGGAACTTAACAGATCATTAACTGGAAGTGGGTGGGTTCCCTACTCTGTTCATTCCCATCCCCTTCAGTATGAAACTTCAAGTGTGTCCTGGGGACAGAGATCCAGAGATGCACTTTACAAACCACAACTTTCAACAGGGTGACCAAAAACAAAATAAGGGACACCTGAAGGGACAGAAGGGGAATTATGTAAGTCTGAGAGGAGAATTGGCTGACTCAGGTACAAAGTCTAGCAAGTATGATGATAATTAACAATGTGATACATTCAAAGGGCAAACAAAATGTTTGGAGGAAACAAGGAAATGGCAGAGACAGGGTTGTCTTCCCAGCAGAAGACATAAATTACACACCAGGTTTACAGGGTAAAAGGGCTAAAAACGAGTGGGGAATTTAAGATAATTAAATCAGTTGAAAAAAGTCCTACAGAAACTTAAGGAAATAAAATACAACAAATCCTTAGGACCTGATGGCCCAAGCAGTCTGGTTGCACACTGTTGGCAATCCTACTGCAAATGCTAAGCCAAGATCCGAAGTTACAGTTAAATGCATCATCAGAAAAATAAAATCTGCTTTAGATAAATGTTATGTCATCAACACTACTTTACCTTGGAACTGTGGCCTTGCATCCCAGCTGTGGGAAGCATACCCACCAAAGATGTAGCCATCTGCATCCTTTACAACCAATAATGATGGTCCTTTGTGTAGAATCTGACTGCAAAAACGAGTGAAACTTGATCCATGGAAATGAGAGGAGAACAGTAGCTGCCATTTGTGTTGATGTTCTGAAGGTAAGTAGGCGTTAAGGTATATGACTGATGGAATGTCAAAAACAGTAATCACTCCAGTAAATTTTATATCTATGCACTCTGGCAGCAGATGTCTTGTGCTAAAGACTTCACCTTGGAACTCTGCATTAGTAATACGAAGGCTCATTGCCACAAACATATGGAGAAAAGTAGAAATGAGAGAAACTGTGTACATCCAGTCCTTTAGTTCATGCTGTCCATATTCTTCACTCAGCAAATTATCTGTAGTCAAATGTCGTCCACCTGTCAATAAAGACAAGAAAAATAATCAAAACACCATATCAGGTTCACTTTTCAGGTCGTAATACTGGACATTACTAACAAAAATAAAGTTAATATCAGGTATTTCAACTGGCTATGCTCCCCACTTAGTGTTTCTATAGAGGCTTTCCTATTACAATGAATTCTGCTGAAATAATTCAAGCTAATGTTTCAGTGCAATAATTAGGGACTGCAGCTGCACAGAAAAATATGTTAAATACACAGCAGGCCAAGGGGTATACAAAAATGAACTCTTTTCATGTGCTGACTGGTTAGCAAGTTGGTTCTGATTAATAAAGATTTTACCTTGGAGAATGCACAGTTAAATGATGACTGACTATTAACTGCCAAGCTTTGTTTAAATTTCAAACCAGTCAGGATGAGTCTGATTGATCAAGGCATTCACTAAATCTGATCAAAGGAAACTACAAAAACGTATGAAGTATGAGTTGGATGCAGTGGATTGAAAGGTGTAACAGTGGTTACTATTTAAGAAATGAATGCATGCATTGCAGAAGCTATACAATCTTTTCAGACAAAAGAATACAACAGTGCCACTATAGTTAACAAAAGACATAAAGAACAGTATTAGATCCAAAGAAGTCATATGAAATTGCTAGAAAAAGTAGCAAGCTTGAAGACTGGAACCAATTTGAAATTCAGCAAAAGAGGTTGATTATGAAGGGAAAAATGGGCATTAACCTGCAAGGAACAGAAAAACCTACCGTAATAGCTTCTATAATTATTAAGAAAATGATTAATGGAGACAGATATAGGCCCTATACAACGGGGGAGGCAATGGCCTAGTGGTATTATTGCTAGACTATTAATCCAGAGACCAAGGTAATGTTCTGGGGGCCCAGGTTCGAATCCCACCACGGCAGATGGTGGAATTTGAATTCAATGAATATCTGGAATTAAGAGTCTAATGATGACTGTGAATCCATCGTCAATTGTTGGAAAAACCCAAGTGGTTCACTACTGTCCTTTAGGGAAGGAAACTGCCATCCTTACCTGGTCTGGCCTACATGTGACTCCAGACCCACAGCAATGTGGTTGACTTTGAACTGCCCCCTGGGTAATTAAGGATGGATAATAAATGCTGCCTAGCCAGCGACACCCTCATCCCGTGAATGAATTTAAAAGAAATCTGAAACAGGAAAAGGAATAATGGAGAACAAGGAAATAGCTGAACAATTAAACAACTACTTAAGGATACACAAATAACTTGTGAGCCGTGTGACGGAAGCATGGATTTATAGGTAAGGAGAAATTGTAGGAATTAATATCAGTAAAAAATAGTGCAGGACAAATTAATGGGACGGAAAGCTGATAAAGTCCCAACACCTGATAATCTACACGGCAGAGTAATAAAGAAAGTGGCCAGTGAAACAGTTAGTTATCGTCTTCTAAAATTCAGTAGGTTCCAGACAACTGGAGGGTAGCAAATATAACCCCACTGTTTGAAAAAGGAGGGAGAGAGAAAAGAAAGAGAATATAGTCAAACATCAGCAGTAGGGAAAATGCTGGAGTCTTATTATAAATATATGACAAAAGGACACTTAGAAAATACCAATGGTATCACACAGAGGTAATACGGATTTAGGAAAGGAAAATCCATTTGACAAACCTACTGGAGTTTTTTTGAGGACATAGATAATAGGATAGGTGAGGAAATGGATGTGGTATATTTAGATTTTCAGCAAGACTTTAATAACGTCCCACATCGATGTTGTCGTGCAAATTCAAAGGACATGGGTTGGTGGTACTTCATTGGCAAGGACTTGAGAATTGGTTAGCAAGCAAGAAACAGAGAATAGGAATACGCGAGTCTTTTCAGAGCGGAAAGCCGTGACAAGTGGGATAGTGTAGACAGCAGCGTTTGGCCCAAGCTATTCACAATATATGTCAACCAGTTGGACGAGAGAAATTTGTAAACAACACAAAATTAGATGGGAGTGTGGATGGTGATGAGGGCCTAAAGCAGTTTCTGGGTGATTTAGACAAGTTGAGTGAGTGGGGAAATACATGGCAGATGCAGTACAATGTGGATAAATGTGAAGTTGTTGAAGGAACGTGAAGGAAAAATGGAGGAGCAAGCTGTTATTTAGTAATGTTACAGGTGATAAATTGAGAATGGTTTATAAACAAAAAGGAGCTGGTATCTTGGCACACCAGTCATTGACAGCAAGCATGCAAGGAAGCAATTAGGAAGGCAAATTGGATGCAAATTCATTGCAAAAGGGTTTAAGTGCAGAAGCAAGGAAGCACAGGGCCTCGGAGCGACCACATCTGGAGTATGATATGCAGTTTTAGTGTTCTTACCCTAGAGACGAAAGAGGAAGTACAGTCAAGGTTCCCCAGGCTGAGCAAAAACCGAAAGAGCTGAGGATGCTACAAATCAGAAACAAAAACAGAAATTGCTGGAAAAGCTTAGCAGGTCTGGCAGCAAATGTAGTGAGAAATCAGAGGTGACATTTCAGGTCCAGTGACCCTTCCTCAGAAGTAGTTCTGAGGAAGGTTCAATGCTGCCAGACCTGCTGAGCTTTTCTAGCAATTTCTGGTTTTGTCCCCACACTGATTTCTGGCTTGGTAGGTTCATCACATGAGAAAGATTGAGTTGACTGGGTCTGCATTCACTGGAGTTTAAAAGAATGAGAGTGGTGCGCATTGAAACATATAAACTTTTGACAGAGTTTGACAGATTTAGTAATGATGTTTTCCCTGGCCGGGGGGAGTCCAGAATGAGGGATTTTCCAGTCCAAAAATTCTAAGAAAGACTGAGAATATAGACCTGTTAGCCACAAATCCTTAGCAGGGAAAATGCTGGAGTCTTATTATAAATATGTGACATTAGGACACTTAGAAAATACCAATGATCTCACACAGAGACAACATGGATTTAGGAAAGGAAAATTATGTTTGACAAACTTACGCTCTGTTTCAGGCCTGCTAACCAATTCTCAGTCCATGCCAATAAAGCATCATCAATATATGTATTTTGAGTTTGCACAATAATTTCTAAAGTGGGATTTTATCAAAGCCTTTCTGAAAATCCAAATGCACCACTAGTTAATTTCACACTGAGATGAAGAGGAATTTCTTCAGTCGAAGGGTGATGAACCTGTGCAATTCTGCACTACTGAAGGCAGTCACTGAATATATTTTAAAAATAAACAGATTTCTAGTAGGTACAAGATATCAATGGGTTTAAGAAGAGAGCAGGAGCATAGCATTGCGAAAGAAGATCAGCATGATCATGTTGGCTTAGTCAGCTGAATGGCCTAATCATGTTCCTATTTTGTACAAACCAGAGGATGGCTGTCACCTATTGTGTTAAAACAAGCACAATATGTACACATGTTCTTTGCAAACTGTGTAATAATAAAGGCAGCTTCCAGTAATTGTCAGTGCAATTCTTAGCACACTCAAGATAATTTAACAAATGCTGTTCAATTGCAGAATCACATATAATTTTGGACATTGCTTTAAGTATAACAAGCATGTGCTAGTTGGTTAGGATCAGCACCTTGCTCATTACAAACAGTCGAAAGAACATGCTGTTCAATATAATTCGCCAGTTTTTGGGTCATAAGGAACACATACCCACAATCACACCAGCACTGAAATTCATATACCGTATTATTCATCTGTGTAATAGGTAGAATATCTTTTTAGTTTCACAGTAACATCCTGTTAGTGCTGTACACCATTCATGTTGCTATTGCACAAAGTTCTCAAATTTAATTTCTCATATATTGCACAAACACATCAGGGCCAAGGCCAAGACTTCAGTCCTGAAAAGTGCTCAGTTTACCCTAGAAATTGTAAAAAAATCTGAAAAATTGTGCCTATTCCTACCAAAGTCCTATGTTATTATTTGTTCATGGGATGTGGACATCACTGGCTAGGCTAGCTTTTATTGCCAATCCCTAATTGACTGAGGGCTGTTAATAGTCAAGCACTTTGTTGTGGGTCTGGAATCACAAATACACCAGACCAGGTATGGATGCAAATTTCTTTCCCCAAAGGACACTAGTGGATCAGATGGGTTTATACAACAATTTACAGTGGCTTCATGTTCACCATTAGGCCAGCTTTTCATTCCAGGTCCACTTACTAACCAGTCAGCTCTCCCTGCTTATACAGTATAAAATCTCTGTTCCCCTTCTTGCAATTGTCCTGATGAAAGCAAGTCAACACGCTTCAACAAAATGTGCCTTTTTTCAGCAATCCTCAAGTACTATCCTATGAGGGCATAGAACATTTACTTGGATACAATGGTCTACGGGGATATGTGGAAAAGCTAGGAGATTTGGCACTAGGTGACAGAACCAGGACAGGCACAGTGGGCCAAATGGTCTCCTTCTGGACCATAATAATCCTGTGATCCTACCAAATGACTAAATAGTCACTTGTTTTTACAACAGATTGACCACTTGAGGAGATTTAACTTTTTAAATCATTTTATGAAAGAGGATTTTCAGCATGAACTATGCGTGAATAAGAGCTCTATTAGAGTAGAACTTGAACTTTTTTTAAAAATCTGTTTCAAATACATGGCTCCTGAGTGGCACATAGTTGGTACGCGGTGAGTGGCTGTGGAGAACACATAGGGACATGGAGGGCATTGAGATTGTGTGGGGTACTTTGCAGAAAGGGCCAGACATTCATCATTAAAACTTAGCCAGTGCCCCAGTAAACTGAAGCAGATAACTTTCTGGTCTAGCCACCCATCAGGCTCTGTTGATACCTCAGGAGTTCCACCCATGGCTTAGCACTGACTCTATTCCTCCCCCTACCCATATAAATATGCCAGCTCAGATTTATCAAAAAGAGGCAGATTGCAACATTCTTCCACTAATTTCCATAGAATCCTTACAGTGTGGAAATAGGCCATTTGGCCCAACATGTCCACACCAACTCTCTGAACAGCATCCAACCTAGACCCGTCCCCTTACTCTTTCACCCTGCATTTCCTGTGGCTAATGCACCTAACCTACACGTCCCTGAACACTACGGTCAATTTTAGCAAGACCAATCCACCTAACTTGCACATTTTTGGACTGTGGGAGGAAACTAGAGCACCTGGCAGAAACCCACACAGACACTGGGAGAATGTACAAACTCCATACAGACAGTCACCCAAAGGTGGAATTGAACCCAGGTCCCTGGCGCTGTGAAGCAGCAGTGCTAACCACTGAGCCACCGTGCCACCGTGCCATAGCCTCAAAAGAACATAGGCAGCTCTCTGATTAGAAAATGACAACTGGTGGTAAATTTAACCTGAAGGTCACTACATCTCAGGCAAAGGTTTGGTTGAGAAGGCAGGCCCTTCATGGTGACTTTAGCCAATATGGGAGCTGAACGGTGTCACTCTGCGTCATAAACCAGCCATTCTGCCAACTGAGCTGACCGAGAACAACTGAACCTTTCTGATGCTCCTCAAAAATCCAACCCGGGTTGGGGGTGGAAGAGGGATGATCAAATGGCAACATTGTACACTTTTAGCTGTACTCCGGTATCCCTGTACTTGAGTACATGTGACATTAAAATCTAATTCTAATCCTAATTTTTAAATACTGCATCAATGAACCTATAGCGCATGGCAATGATGGCATTCTTCAAACATAATGCTGTGAGATCTTCTTAATTACAATGCCTTGATTGACTGCAAGCAATGCAGAATCAGCCTTATTTTCTGACTTCTTTAGAAAACAAAAGATGTGCTACAATGATTTTAATTTAGTTTTCCTGAAATACAACACAAATGGAATCCGTATGTTTTATTTTAAATTTGTCCTTGGAATGTGAGGGCCACTGGTTTCTAAATGCCCTGGAGAAGATGGAGCTGAGCAGCTTTCTTGAAGTACTTCTGTTCATATTGTGTAGGGACATCCACATTTCAGCTCAGGAGAGAGTTCTAGGATTTTGACCCAGTGATACTGACAGAATTGTGATATATTTCCAAGTCTAATTGGTGTGTGAGTCGGAGGGGCACTTGGAGGTGGTGTTGTCCTCATGCAGCTTCCACCCTTGTCCTTCTAGATGGTAGAGGTCAAAGGTCTGGAAGGTGCTGTCAAAGGGATCTCAGGCATATTGTTGATGGTATATACTGTGTGTTCGTGATGAAGGGATTGAATTTTGAAGGCGGTGGATGGGGTGCTGATCAAGCAGACAATTTTGTCCTGGCTGGTCAAATTTCCAGAGTGCTGTTGGAACTACACTCATCCAGACAAATGGACAATATTTCACCACACCCCTGACTTATGTCTTTTAGATTATGGACAAGCTTTGGGGAGTCAGGAAGTGAGTTACTTGCAGCTGAATTCCCAGAATCTGACTTGCTTTGTAGCCACAGCATTTGTATAGCTAGTCCAGTTGAGCTTTTGATCAATTATAATCCCCAGGACCCTAAAACTTAACTACAATAATACCACTGAATTTCAAAGGGAGATGGTTATATTCTGTCTTGTTGGAGATTGTCACGACCTGGCATTTATGTGGCACAAATGTTACTTGCCACTACTCTGCCCAAGCCTGAATGAAATCCAGGTCTGTCTGCATAAAAACAAGAACTGTTTCAGTATCTGAGGAGTTGCAAATGGTACTTATCAGCAGAAGTCCCTACTTCTGAGCTTATGTTGCAAGGAACATCATTGAGAACATAGCGATGGGTGGTAGGGGCTAGGACATTATCTTAGAACCATAGCTACAATAAGGTCTCAACTTGATTAAATAAGTGCTGCTTGACGGCATTATCAGAGACACCTTCCATCACTTTTCTGATGATTGAGAATAGACTGATGGGACAATAAGACATGGGAGCAGTGCTTTAGGAGGCCTCAGATTGACAGAGGATAAAACAGTGGAAACCAGCCAGGAATGAAATGGAAGTCAGGTTTAAAGGCAACAAAGGAATGAATCACGATACAACAGCAGAGAAACAAAGATCAGGACGATGTTGGGTAAAGTAATGGAGGTAGAAACAAGCAGTCTGAGCAATCATATGCGTGGTTGGAAGGTCATGATGAAATCTGACAACAAGGTTGCGAGCAGACTGGTTTAATCTTAGTCTGTTGCTAAGGAGGATGAAGTCAGTAGCCAGAGAACAGACTTGGAGTGAGAATCAGAGGCAATAGCTTCAGTCTGCCAATATTATTTTGGGGTAAATTTCTGCTCATCCACTACTGGAGTTTGGATAACCAGTCTGCTCATTGCGAGACAGTGGGTGGGTTGAGAGAGTTGACAGTGAAGTAGAGCTGAGTGTTGTCTGCATACACGTGAAAACTAATATTGGGTTTTCAAATAATGTTGCTAAGGAACATCATGTAGTGAGAAATGGGTGTGGAGCAGGCAAGGCTATAACTTGGAGTATACCAAAGTTAACGGTGCACGAGAAGGATGGGAAGCCACTGGAAGTGATACTCGAGCCACATTTAAATAGAAAGAATGGAACAAGTTGACATCGAGTTGAGGCAGCTGGACAACAGTGGAGAGGCGCTGGAGGAGAATTGTGTGGACAACCAAAGTGGTTACACAAAGGTTCAGAATGATGAGAAGGCAATGATTAAAATCACATGGAAAAGACAATTTTTTTTTGATGAAACTGCACTTAAATAAATGTTCATAATTTTTTTGTGATTGAATCTTTTCCATTTTGGGTCAACTGAATGTAACCAAGATACCCTTAAATTTCCAAAGAGCTGTAGATTTTAAATACCAGGACCATATATGCAATTGAGTTTTTAAATTCCTGACAATTCCATTTTATTCCAGCTATAAGCTAGTTGTCAAAGACAGGCATGGATACACAACATTCAACATTCGTACCTTTAGCCGTCAACTGAGACATCAGAGTGTTAGTCAGCCGCATTGTGCCTAACGTGGGATCTGCAGTTTTCTCCAAAGTCCAACCTCCAAGCATCTCTTCAATTTGCAGCAACTGGATCACTGTCGTAATGAGATCCTTTGTGAACTGCATGGGATATAGAACAAACCACAGACTAAACAGAGATATATCCAGCACAAAATGTTCAGAACAAAATGGTAAAGTGCACAGTTAAATCAAAAACAAAACAGCTGGAGCAGTCTCAGGCATGGAAGGGGATAAAAGGCAAGACAAAAGGTTGATTAGAGTTCCCAAATTTGATTATACCCCTGACAAATAGGAAGTGATTGATATAGAAACACAGGCATAGAAGCTAGGAGCAGGAGTAGGCCACTTGGCCCTTTGAGACTGTTCTACGATTCTATACTGTATGATCATAGCTGAACTTCTGTTTCAACGTCATATTCCTGTTTATGATTTGGTGCAGTTCGGTTGGTCTCTTGTCAAACAATTAGTCAACATCTGTTGTCTAGGATGAATAGTGGCTATGTAATCAGGGTCTTGTGTTAACAAGATGCCCAGAACTACCTCATACACCCAGGCCTAGTGAGGGCGGCCACTGACAGGTCCAGACAGCGACAACAGAAGTAAAATGGATTCAAATATCGATTCAGTGTCCATGTATTATTGGAGTCAGTGTTATCCAGGACAGCACTCATAAGATTACCTTTCACAGGTTTAAACAAAAAAGTTTGAAAAACGGACATGTTTCCAAAACTAGCTTGCTCAAACAAAAAGTGAAGATATCAGGGAAGAAAATACTTAAAAGGTGAAGTCTGAAAGAACAAGGTCCAATTAATTACAACCTTGCAGGTCCAACAAGTGAGAAGAAAAATTTACAGAGCTCTGAACTAAATGAGGCTGATTCACTTTGGCATGAGATGAAATAAATGATCTGAATTTTGAATTTGAAACTTGGTTAAAGGCATGAATGTGCCCAAATCTTACTGTTAAAAGGGGAAATCAAGGAATTGAATCTCAGGGAAATCCCTTGTACTCAAACAGTAGACAAAATATATACTGAACAGGATTAAACAAGGAGGATGCCCCCGATGTAGTTCAACAAAAAAAATTCAAATGACTTTACAGGATAAAAATTTGGAGGTTTCTCTCCATGTACCAAACTAAATGCTTCTAACTGCACCTGTAATGCCATTAAATAAAAAGCTCTACCATAAGGGAATGAGTATCAGGGCACTTCATAAATAAAACGCTGGCATGCCCTTGCTGAATTTTAGGACATTATTAACATCTTTACCTCTTTTATTTCCTTTCCTTTTACATGACCATCAGCATCTTGGGAAACCATTCTCTGAATTATAAAAGCTTTTTCTTCGGCTGTGCCTCGCATGGCATAAGAAAGAAATAAAATAAACTGTTTCTTGCTTATGGAGTCACTGAGACCTTCTGTTTTTTTAACTGGATCTATGCTTCTCATTGCATTGTAGAGTCGGATTGTCATGGGGCCCAGCACAGTCACATGCACGTAAGCCTGAGGAAAAACAAGACAACATCACTTGGCATTGTATAACACTCTCCTAAACTTCTTCCAAGTCTATTTTTACATTCAGTCATCTGAGGTGAGAGACAGCTTTCTAGAGACAACCACTCTATTCTTTCTACTCAAGATTTATAATGATTCTCAAGCAAGAGGAAAAATCACTTCAGTGTCTATAAAAAGTTGAAGGATGATTGCACTCATAGCAAATTCCCAATATCATTCCAATGACACAGTGCCAAGCTCAGGAAAGTTGCAGAACCAGTCTTTTGAGTGATCACCGAGTCGTCAGTATTGTAATGGCATTGTTGGAGCACGTGGACCTGGTGACCAGCAGAGTCGCTTTGAGAAAAAAAATGTCTAAATCACATCAGGGGGTTGTGGCTAATGTAATAAGCTATGAGTTTAGTTCCTCCCAGTACAGTCCAGAATCCCTGCGTTGACCAAGAGGTGCCAGAACAGTGCCAATCTGCAAAATCACAGCCTACGATATTGGAGATAATTCTACAAACTAAATTCTTTTTAAGAAACTGTGTAATTATTAAACATAATAATTGGGGAAATGATGGCCTAATGGTATTATCACTGGACGGTTAATCCAGAGACCCAGACAATGTTCTGGGGACCTGGGTTCAAATCCTGCCATGGCAGATGGTGAAATTTGAATTCAATAAATACCTGGAATTAAGAATCTAAAGATGACCATGAATCCATTGTCGATTGTTGGAAAAACCCATCTGGTTCACTAATGTCCTTCAGGGAAGGAAACTATCATCCTTATCTGGTCTGGACTACATGTGACTCCAAACCCACAGCAATGTGGATGATTCTTAACTGCCCTCTGGACAATTAGGGATGGACAATAAATACTGCCTAGCCAGTGACGCCCACATCCCATGAACAAATAAAGTAAAAAAAAATGCTGCTGTCTCACTGGCCATTTGCTCTAGTCAGATATACCTCATTTATTCAGCTAAATTGCCAGTTCCTGGGTTAACTGCACACTGGAACTGGGCTTCGTTCCTTCACTAGATTATCCCAGACCAGAATCCATAGTAGTAGGTTGTGAGGATATACAAGCATACATATTAAGAGCAGGTACCTTTGAGCCTGCTCGGTCATTTGATAAGATCATGGCTGATCTGATTGTGGTCACAATTCTAGTTTCCTGTCTATGACATCTAACTCTGCCTTAAAATATTCAATGACTGACTCTATCCATCTCAGAGGAAGTGAGTTCCACAGGTAAACAACTTTCTAAGAGAACAAAATTCTCCTTATCTCCATTTTAAATGGGAGACCCAGCATTTTAAATAGTGCTCTCTCGTTCCAATCTCTCCCACATCCTCTCAGTATCCAAATCCCCCAAGGGTCGATGTTTTAATAAGATCATCCTCATTCTCGTAACTCCCAATGCTTACGGGCCCGACCTGAGCAAGCTATTCTCATAAGATGCCACTTCATCCCAGTAGCTTTTATTTTGGCTGTGCTACACATGGCATAAGACAGAAATAAAATAAACTGTTTCTTGCTTATGGGGTCACTGAGGCCTGCTTGCTAATCAATTCCCTGTCAAGGCTAATATGTTACCCTCTAGCCCACAGGCTCTTACTTTGTGTAGGAACCTGGAAGTGGCATCAAGTCTATGGCTTTTGGGAATGCAAGTACCCAACATCCCACAGGCTCCCCTTTATTTACTTTGTTCTCCAATGAACTCTTAAACAAAAAAGAGAGTGATACACCATTTCCCTTCACAATACCAGGCTCAGCCTTTTTACATCAAGATCAAGACAGCCTGAGAACAGAGGATATACAAAAAACGGTGAACAGCAGTTTTTTTTTGGGATTTGTGTTTGTCAAAGTTTGATCAGACATGGCACAAACCCTTACTGCCAAGCACACCCTCTTTATTGGCTTTCTTGCTGCACTTTCTTCGTTGGAAACTAAAGCTCATACCTCTGGGTCCCTATCACAGCAAACAGGAAGAAACAACATGGAAAACGTTTCCCTTATTGTAGCAAACACGTTTTAACCCCCTGGTTGTACTCTCCAGAAAAGTGGGTAGGTGGATGAGGTAGGAGGCAGAAACTAGGCAATGAGCATTTCAGGTCCTGGTCCATCCTAGATTTAGAAGTAAATGCAATAAAACCTGAAAGCTGAGGTGAAACAGAACCAAGTTGTACAATTGGTAATGTGCACACATCAAGTTTAACAAGGGAGGTTAAGCATACTGATCATGCTCATTTGCTCTAATAAAGCCCTCGGGACTATTACCTTCAATTGCTTTTGCTTAATTTACTCAAGTGCATACAAACAATCAACAGCTGTCAGCATTGTGGCCATAACCTTGCTTCAGTGTTTTCTTACTGATGTAAAATGTTATCTTGCAGCTGACAACAGCAATACTGATCAATTTAAGAGCAACTCCTCAGGTTAGGTGTGTGGCCACGAAAGTGTGAAGCCCACAGACTTGTCCATGAACTTTGTTCTGTCTAAGAACTTGCATATGTAGAGCTTTGAAGTTCCATTTCATCTGCTGCCATTTCCGAAAGAGGAATGGAACAACTTCAGAACAGTAAAAGGTCTTGAAGGTGACATTTGTTCAAACAGAAATAGTGTTGATTATTTATTCCAACAAATTGTTGATTCAATAGGATGTCAGTTATATTGTTCAAGGAGAAGGTTCAAAATCACCACTAAGTACTTGTGGCAGAGAACTTAATATAGACGATACTGGCAAAACCACACCACAACAACCGATTTTCCAAAGCTAAGTATCTACTTTTCTCTTTCCTCACAGATTAAAACAGTTGCATTTCTCCTATCTAGGTGAAGGAACCAACAAAAATGTATGTGCCATTCCAATTTTAGAATTCAATTCACAGAGTCGGTCAACATTGAAAATCCCTCGAGTCAATATGGATTTCTTCATCACATGCCCCAACATTAGTCTGTCCAAATAGCCCAGAGACATAGTTACCCTCTGCAAATTATGATCAGACATTAAGCCAACCAGAAAGCAAATTCAAAACTGCGACTCATTCCCCAAAACCAGTTGGCAGCATAAACATATGCAACATTAAGGAGATGTATTTCTGAAGTAAAAGTGGGAGCCCTCTTTTAAATGTTTAGTTAGAACAAAATATCAGGAAGTTCAACAGACAGAAACCAGTAGCAGCTTTATGTTTTACAAAAAAACTGGTCACAACTTGCAATGTTAAATTGCATTTCCAATAATACATAATACATGCTTTGCATGGAAATCAGACAGTACATTTATGATAAATCTTTTCACTTCCAGTTTGTGTGTTCAGCATTTACCTTTAGCATGGCCAAAGTAATTTGCTTCTGAGTAGCTTTTCTGCCTTTTGCATTGCTATTTGAGCCAGACACGGAGTCAAAAACATTATCCAGAATAATGCGTTCTTCAGTTGAAAATGGACATTGCCAGATTCTATTCAATCCATGACTCTCTCCATTTCCCATCTTTTCTTGCAGATAAGTGGGGTCCCTCAAACCTAGAAACAACATTTGAAAAATGAGGGAGCACCAGAATACTAAGAAAGCAGCTATTTAACTCAACTTTTAATCTGCAAGCTAGACATGCATGTTCATTGGGAATAGAGTTGATATTGTAAAAAGAGAAAGAGAGAGAGAGAGAGGAGAGAGAGAGAAAGAGGAGAGAGAGAGAGAGAAAAAGAGAGAGAGAAAAAGAGACAGAGAAAGAGGAGAAAGAGAAGAGAGAGAGAAAGAAAGAAAGAGAGAAAGAAAGAAAGAAAGAGAGAGGAGAGAGAGAGAGAAAGAGAGA